GAGAGTACGTAATTTATTATAAAAATTTGATATTCCTCTCATAAAAGACTAAACCCTTTGATCATCTTTTTAAAAAATATATAATTTTCTTTACAAAAATTTTTATGAGATAATTAGGAAAATATTAGATTTAGAGATCAATTCACTCACTCCACGGTTTTTTTTTATTTCATATTGAAAATTTCATAGTGCTTTTTATAAACATTAAATATAATATGTCATTGTTAAATTGATTTTTTTTTTGAGATATGTTATTGTTGAGATATCACTTTTCATTATCTATAACTCATATTTTTTCATTTTCAAATATTTTTATGTTTAAAAACGTTTCTTTAAGAAAAAAATATATATACATGGGTTTTATAAATTTTAGAATATTATGTCACAAAACATAATACAATATCTTTTTAAAAATTTGGTAAATATTTATGTCCTCAAACTTTATTTGTGAAAAAATTAATTATAACAAACTTTAGTCTGAAAAACAAACATTAGAATAAAATGTTATAAATCTACTTAAAGAAATAAAGGTAAATTTATTTATGGAAAGATTTTCTAAATCATTTTGTTATGATTCATTAATTTAAATTTATTATAGAAAATTTCTATTCAAATTTGCCATGTCACATTTTTTGTTTAGCCATGTCATAATTTTTTTTGGGAGAGTGATTGTGGAGATGACACATAATTAATTTCTTATAAATTACTTCTCAAACTTAATATATAAGGGATAATATTAGTTAACTAAATATAAAAGTGAATGCCTTCACCGAACAAAATATTATCAAAAATAGACAATGGTATTAAAAATAGTGATTGTGCTTTCTAATATAGACAATTTTATTGAAAATAATTTTGTTATAAGTTAAAAATTAGAAGTCTATATGAGAAACTACAATGATTATTTTTGATATATTTATCTATTTTATAATATAATGTTATCCATGGCACATCTTATTATATTTAATATACTCAACTATTTTTACACATAGAAATAGGTTTACTTATTCTACAAATAGTTGACTGCTTGTCATGAAAAAAAAGATGAAGCCTACAATTGTCTTAACTAGAATATGACTTGTTTTTCAAT